AGGCATGTCTAAAAATCGAGATGACTTTTTGTACCTCAAATCTTGATTCAGTGGAGGTTGAAATTTGTGATTTGGGATATACTTCTTGACTACATAAGGCTATGTTGTTCCTCCAGGTGTGGAAGAACATCTGTGTTATCCTGAAGTCTTTAATTTTGTGATCACTTACTGGTTTTTCCTCCGTTCCCTGGAATCCTTGCTTTACCTGTTATATAGAGCATAGTATGTGCACTTAATAAGCAGCTGTTTGGTGTTTTTGTTTTCTCCTCATTAAATATGTGTCCTAATGCTCACTACTAAACCTTGCTTTGAGGTCAGAAATCTGAATTTGTTCCTGGGTTTTTGCTTCTGTATAATAGGAGAGTGTCTGAAATTTTTGTTCTTTTTTTATCACACCCGTGTGAGAAGAAAGATGATATTATCTGCCCTTTATGGATGGAGAAACACAAATGCATCAGGCTTCTATAATGTGGTTCTTCAGGTAACACAGGATACTGCATGCCATTTTACGAGTTTAAAGTGTAGCTCCCATAGTCTCCTTCTGCACCTCTGAACGTTGAAGACTTTTGCAAATCAGTCCTATATAGACTGGGCATCCAGAAAAGATGCCATAAAAGAGAGAGGTTGGTTCCTGGCATCTCGCAGAGTTTTTGTGGCAGAGATGGAAATAAGAATGCTGTTCTCCAAGGCAGTTATTTTTTTGGCTACGTTAATTATGAGACTGTTTTCTTTCTACAGCTTCAGTCTGGTTTTCTGCCTCTCTTTTGTCTGTGTAACAAATGATATAATGCTTCAGGTCTATCTGGTGCATTGGATGAGTCATGGCCTGTTGGGGGTGACGGGAACAGCAACGTGTAGTCGTGTTGTAACGCAGACGCAATGCGAACTGAGCTTATAGTGTGTTTCTTTGCTCTTAATTGAAATGCGAAGTGGTATTAACTGGAAGGCTCATAAGAAGAAAAGGACTTTCCTGCTCTGCTATGTCTGCCTCTTTGTATGATATGTGGTGGTTTTCTGGATAGACTATTGCTGAAAAGGGGAGAATGCGATACGCGGCCAATAGGTTTCATGTCCTCATTGCTGGCAAAAGCATTGGGTTGAATTTTAGGCTCTGGAACAAGCTGTTATAGTTTTGGAATATATGGGGAAGAGAAAAGCAATAAAATGAAATTGTTCACTTGAAGTGAGAAGGAAAGACACTAATTTTTCTGTAGCTAGAACATTTAAGCTGTTCTCCATGGCTTGAATACAGTCCTCACTGAAGTGAGAATAAAAATGATATTTAAATCTTGCAGGCATTTTTTCCCCTTCACTTTTAAGCAAAACTGTAATTCTCATTTGATTTCTTACATTTAAAGCAGCGCTGTCTTTATGATAAAACTAATTTTCCACTGGGAAGGACAAGTCCGTAGAGCGTGCCAATCTACTACTGTGACCGTGTCTACGCAGTGTACTGCAGACTGGGATGCAGGATCGCTCTGGCCGGTGCCAGCTGGGCTGAGAGGAGCAGGCAGTGCTTCCTAGCTTTGGTTCAAGACAAAGCTTGTGAAGCTTGTGCAAGCCTGCACGTCACCTACTTAGTTGCCATTTTGTCAGAGGTCATCTGTAGAAGTGCGGGGTGGAATGTAGAGGTGTGCTCAAGGATGACGGCTTACTAGCAAAACTTGGATGGTTTCATTTATAATTGTAATTCAGTTGGTTGTTATGGCAATAATATGCCATTGTATTTGACATTTTCTAATTTCCCTTTTATCCAAATGCGATCTCTGTCAGGGTACTTGTTTTTCTTTCATAACAACAGTGACCTTTATTGAAAATTGTATTAGTAAGTATAATTAGAGATCTATTTGTTGGGGGGGTTTGCTTTTTTTAAACTATCACAAAAATGTAAAAACATAATGCTAGCATGTGTTGAAGTGCGTTCTGGTGTTAACTTTGCATTAAGAGGGGACAGTTGGCTTGGAACATCTGCACATTGTCCCAGCATTCAGCGCAATTAATGTATATTGTGTCCATTGTACATTGCATTATTTTCTTGTGTAGAAGTTGTTCTTTCAAAAATGTCTTGTTTGCTGTTCTCGAGGCCTTGCCTCATTACTGCAGTTATTAGTGCTACAGGCTGATGTTGCTTAGGAGTTTGGTCTTTTCCCTGTAACCTGAATTGCTTGTTTCTCTTGCAGCCTTTGGACATCCCTGATGGTCGAAGGGCCCCGTTACCTGCTCACTATCGTAGTAGTAGTACACGAAGCATTGACACTCAGACTCCGTCTGTCCAGGAGCGCAGCAGCAGCTGCAGCAGTCATTCACCATGTGTGTCTCCCTTTTGCCCTCCTGAATCTCAGGATGGGAGTCCTTGCTCAACAGAAGATTTACTCTATGACCGTGATAAAGGTGAGAGTAGAATGGCCCACCTTTACCTATGGGAGGCATGTGATGTCCTGCTTTTACAACTACCTTCATTTTACTCATTACATCAGTTTTGTTTTTGTTTGATGGTTGTGGAGGGAATGAGGAGTTACCTTAAAATTGGTTTTGTTTGTTTACATATCTTTTTCCCTCTTGTTTGTGAAACTTCACAAACATCTTCCATAAATATGTCAGAGGAGCACAGCAAACAGTCTTAACTATTTATGAAGATTCTAATGTGAAGAATTCAGACTGTAACGTGTTTATGTTTAAAAAAGGTTTCAAGAAGGTTTGTGGTAGACTATATATTCATCGTGGGTGAGTTACTTGCTGATCAAAATGGCGATGATGATGTTTTGGACTGCTTTAAAAAGTACTCTGCTTCTGAACTCCTACATTCCAATTGAAGCTATTTGGTGAGGAGCTCAGATATGAGTTTGAACAATCTGATGGAGAGTAATTACTTGTCTGTGTGTGTTGCATAACAACCCAAAATTTCTGAATAATTTATGTGTTTGTATGTCAATATCCTGCCTTTTTTTTCAAAGTCTGTAAAGTATCATTTGGCTTTGTAGAGGGAGTAAACTGGAGTTCCAGTAATTAAGAGTTACTGACAGAACATGTAGTATGAAAATATAGGCACCGGTGTAAAAAGACTGATTTTTTTTTTTTTTTTTTTTTTTTTTTAACCCTTTACTAATAAAATTATTCTTGGGCTTCTGGTCAGCTAGCTGGAAACACAGACTTTAGTTTGGAGGGATGCAGGGTTTGGGTAAAATATGCAAGCTAAGAGTAAGTTTCACAGAGGAAATGAAAACTTTTAAGATTTAGTGTAGATTTTCTAATGAGCTAAAGACTGCAGTATTTTGAGGTTATAAGTAAGGTTAAGCTTTTCTGTAAGTATTCTCTGTTTAATAATTCTTAAAGTAATTTGGGAATAAGATTGGGGAAGGCAGTGGCAGAAATACTAGCTTTCCTTGGTTTCCGAAAAGTATCGCTTTCCCATCTTGGATTTAAAAGGAAGTAGTGGAAAACAAATCCACCTGCCCAAATCCTGAATTGGGGGTGGGTGTGTGCACATGTGTAGGTTAACCACATCAAAGCAAAAGTCTTAGCTCAACATGGTAGCTGGCCATGCTCCAAAAATAACAGAGATATTAACTTCCCCCCGCTCCCCCTTCTCTTTCTCTTAGTATGCATGTGAATTGTAATGTGTTGTCAAGCCTGAATCACTATAGAGACATCCACTAAAGTATTAGCACACAAGGAAACTTCTTGACAGGTAAATTTGTTCATATGTGTCCTGATAACAAATATAAGTTAATAAGCAAGGAAATGAAAAGAGGAATTCCTTTTGCAGTTAGTACTCAGTTCTCATGGTAATTGGAATTTTCAATGGTACTTTATTGGCAGTAGCGAGTGAAGACTGTTTGAAATGGTGTGCATCTAACCTTCTTAATGCTTTTCAAAGGGCTTTTAGCTCCTGCCTTGGATTTTTTGAACAGCTAATTGGAGTAAAATGTATTGCTGAACTTCACAATGAGTAGATACTTATTCGAGGATTTTGGTTTTAATACCAGCTGTAATGCTAGGTTTGTATCAAAAATCTGCTTTAGTAGTAGTGTATGGGTGATGGTGATGAACAGCCAGCTTTGTGAAGTTAATATAATTGCATTTTTAAATTAGTTTAGGTAAGGTACTTAGTACTGTGCTTATGAAAGATAAAAGCTTGAAGTGCTCATCACAACTTTGTTCTTTAAGGACAAGATAGAAACTAGAAAAATGCTTAGTGGTCTTCCAAGAGAAAGTAATCTGTTTAGAGGTTGTGAAAGTATAGTCAGAAAGGCGCCTTTTACTCTCAGATCATTAAGATCCCCACAGGCGAGTTGTTCTAAATAAGACAGGTTATCTTCAAAGTAGTTAAATTGTAGCTAAATGAGGGATATTGGTAGAAATTGTAAGGGCATAATGAGTTTTTTAACATCTGTTGTGGATGTTAACCACTTTCTAAACCAAAGCTCACAAAGTTTTTCGCACCTTCATTTTAAAGGTTTTTGTGATGCTAGAGTAAAACTGGCGTGAGTTTCCTGTGAGGCCTGTTGAGTTTTGAAAAATGCAGTGTATAAGCAAATGGTAGCCATTTTAAACCCAAGATATTTTTCTGTTACTTTTCGCAAGTTGAGGTTTTATTTTCCTCTCTATGGGAATAACTTGGCATTACCATTAAAAATATAATTATCGGCTTTATGAATGCTCCTGAGTGTGTTGCTGAATGGGGAAGGAAGGTTAGTAGTAGGTTGAGGGAGAGACCCGAGCAGCGAGAGGAGCCAGAGCTCTGTACAGACACTGCACTGCTTTACATTTCTAAAGCATCTTTTATTTCTTGTGCAAAGCTTGTGCTTTGGCCTGAGGCCCTCGCAGCTGCTCTTTGGACTGTATCAGCTGTTTGGTTTACATTTCTGCAAGACACTGCGAAATCTATTGAATTTTTCAAAATAAAGTGAAAGCTGAATTTCAGAAAAGGCCCACAGTGCTGCTCCAAATGGAGCAGCGATACTAAATGGTATTGATTGGAGCAGAGGGGGAATGGTGGGAGAGGAGGTATTTTAATGGCACCTGGCTTTATGATTTTGTTTTCAACTACCAGCCTATTGCAAGGCAAGTGGTTGCCTTGCTACATTAAAGCTACTGGTTTCACTGGATCTGGTCTATGATACTTTGGTCCATGAGAGTATAATTCAGAGCACTACACAGCGTACTTAGCAGCTGTGACCGCGTAAAGTTCAAAGGCATCCTAAAGTATAAGCAGATGAAACTTGGGGTGGGTTTTTGTACAAAAATAGATAGTATAACCTGTTTTTTCAGGGATTTTGATTTAGGTGCCTTTGTGTAGCATTGTGTATTTCCCACCGTTGCTAGCAGGCTGTTACAAGCAACGTGTTCATGAAGATGAACTGAAGATACTTTTTAACTTCTGGGCATCTGATTCAGTTTTTAAAATGAAAATTATATGTAAAGTCTTCAGATAGTCTTAAGAAACAAAGGTATTTTTGAACACACAAAAACAAATCCCAAGGCTCACTGGCAAAGTTTCTTGTTTCCTTTAAGTTTTGTCACTCAAAACTTGTTTTACAGATTCTTTTTTAGTTTGCCTCCTTTGTTGCTGTGATATATGCAAGCTAAAATTCGTGGTATTAAGTCTTCTGGTTAAAATAGTATTTTTAGTGTTTAATTACAGTCTTCTTTAATTACATTACATTTTCTAGGTAACAGAATATATCCATTTTGAATATTTACGTTTAGAAATTCTGTGTAATAAGGCTCCATATTGTCTGCTGTGTGATTGTGGTAACAGAACTGACTTTAAAGGTTACATCTGTTAATCTTCAATCATTGTCATCTTAATTTGATTAGTTGGCTGAAATACGCCAGCAGAGCACGCCCTACTGGTGGAAGGGTGGAAGATGCAGACGTGGCCCCTGACATGAAGGCTCATGCATTGCAGCCTCTGAGAAAGTAAAAAAAAAAAAAAAAAGTAGTGTAAATAGCAGAGTTTGAGAATACACATTTGCAGTGTCATTAAGGATTAATAATGTGATGGTTTAGCACTTAAGACCTTACCGGTTACACAAGTGGAGACTGGCTCAAGCTGTAAATTCCACCTCTTGCAACTTTAACTCGTGGCCTATTTTTCCCAGTACCCTTTCCGTTCTCGCACCGCTGCTGTACGTGTAGAACCAACACCAAGCTTGTACATGCGAGCCTCCTAATAACCACGTGTATTTTTCAAGTAGTAGCGTGGGGCATATTTAGTCAAAATGAAAAACTAACAACTTAACTAAGCTTTAAAAGCAGGGAGGTTAAAGAGAGAAACAGAATAGTTAAATTATACAATATATTTTTTTACCTTGTTTAAAAGCTGTCTTTTTATAGAAAGTTTCAGCCAGACAGGGCTAAATAAACCAAAAACTTGATTGAGAACTGAACTGGCTGGACAAGACTCTAAATCTTCCAAGAACTGACTTAACTTTGAGTTCAGTTCGATTCTTTCCTTGGATGTACTTCCACAGTTTTCCACTATTTGGTGGAATGAACAGTAGCACATTTTATGTCTCGAATTTTTTAAATAGAAACTTGGATCTTCAGTTTTAAATATTAGAAGGAGGAAACAAACTGTCTGGGTTGTGTTAATGATTTCTGTGTTCGGAATGAGCTGTGTGGGCCAGCAGTGGAAAGATGCCAACAGGACCATCATGCTCCCAGTTTGGCAAATATCTGTATTGTCTCTAAGCTTTTTCTGCCTTCATACAGTTAACACCTAAAGTCCTGTAAAGAGAAGTTCTCTGTTCACTCTACAGCAGGAAGGAGCTGAATAATCAATACGCTGCTGAGGTTCACTTCAACTTTTTTCCTCCTATCTTTCATAGTAAATCTACAAAGGGAAGCGTGACATTTGAGTTAATTTGTGTCTTGTAAGAGGAAGCAGAGATGTTTCAAAACATCTAATGATTAGCCTTTGTGTTTGAGTCATGGTTATACAAAAGTTTATGTAGTTACTGTTTGCAAGCTGTTAAAGACAACTTTATATGCTTCAGTGAATCTAGTTCATAGTGCTTGAAGCTTTGGTTGGTTTTCCACTGTTGCTGAAAAGGCACACATGAAACAGCAGCAAAATAAAGGTGTCTGAGTTAAAAACGGTAAGGTACCCCACATTGGTGGAAAGACTCAAGAGGAGCTAAAGCAAGAGCAGTTATTTCTCTCCAAATAAGGTGTGTTTGTAAGCTGGGGGATCCTCTTTAACTTTGCCATTTCATTTCATGTTTTTTTAATTGTAAGCCCAAGCAGAGAATAGGACGCCACTAACACTAGCCTGAGATAGATGTTGCTCTTTGAAAAGGTAGAAGCCACTGCAGGAAGCTAATTTTCTGTAATTATTTTTGTACCTACTTTATTTCCTTAATGCATTGAATATCATCTTTTCAAGATGAGTGTGCACACTGAGTCCTTTCATAGTCCTGTTTTTTCAAACTTCTATGCTTCTGTCATTACCAGAATTGAGCCTTCTCTCTTGTATTTTCCGAGAAGTGCAAAGAAATCTGCCTATTGCCTTGTGTCCTAGATCTTCAGACCTTTAGTTCTAAGTGTGTCTAGTAAAATACACATGGACAGCTAGAGTTATGAAGAATACCTATATCATATAGTTAGTAGCGATGAGAGAATTGAATTGTGGAAGTTTTATTTTGGATACTTGGACAGCTTCACAATTGTGAAGCAAGTAAGGTAGGACACTAATGATGAGGTATCAGTACCTGTGTTACAAACATGCTTTGTTTCTTTGCAACTTCTGAACTATTCATGAGACTAATGAGGTCAATATTCCAGTGAAGAATTATGTTTTAAAATAAGATACATGCTGTATACACACATTTTTAATATGTGTGTTTATACAGTGAGAAGGCATATTGACATTACCACTCATAATTCTTCTGCATGTATTATGCGTATTATCTTGTTCGTTTATGTTTTTTGAAATACATAATAAAGAATGTGTTTGTTTCCAGGGTCACAGCTCTGCCTTGTTCTGATTGCAGTGTTCTGGATAAAAATATCCTCCTGTTATGTGTTGTTATATGATAGATTACTGCTGCACTGAAGCTTTTATTCAGAAGAAATGTGCTATACAAGGGTGTTAGAAATAGCCTGCAATAAAGGAAGCATTGTGGTAGAAGCAAACCAGCATAGTGGCTAAATTGTGAAAAAAGGCATCTTGTTTGGAAATCGAATTTAATTAAAAAGCACTCTCAATCTCTAGTAATATAACTGCTTTAAATTTTCAGACAGTGGGAGTAGCTCACCGTTGCCCAAGTATGCCTCATCTCCCAAACCAAACAACAGCTACATGTTCAAACGAGAGCCCCCAGAGGGATGTGAGCGAGTGAAGGTCTTTGAGGAAATGTCGTAAGTAATGCCTTTTATATCAGCTGGTATCTGCAAAGCAGTAAACCTGTTTACTGAGCCTATTCAACTGCAGATGAATAAACTATTCCAGCTGATGAGTTTTTCAGGAGCAAACTATTCTTAGAGTTTGTACAGAAGAGAAGTTGAAGTGTTCACGTTGGTTTGAAGAGGAAATGGAGTCTTTTATGCTTGAACTCTTTTTGTGCATTTATAAAAGGCAACAAAAATCCAAGCAGAAAAGATAAGGTACATTTAATTTCCTAAGCATTTATAAACCTCTTTCCATCTCTATTTTATTAACTTTTTAAATGTCCATGGCTTAAACCAGAAACCGTCCTTGTCATCATTCTTTATCAGTTTCAAGCATAGGTTACATTTTGATATGTACAAAACACATAAGATGGAGTGAAACCTATGTAAAGTGTTTGTAAATGGTAGTATACTTATGGCATAGACTTTGCTCAATATTTTTTGCTGAGCAAGAAATTGGAAATTAAACTCTTGGACATCGTGTCTTTTTCCCCTAGACCCAGCAGTATTTGAGCACATGCTGTCGAGGTTGCATGCTTAGCTCCTGTGGATGATGAAAGAATTAAGGAGGGGACGTTTCTTGCTCTAACAGCATTCATTGCCTGCTGGATGGTGAAGGAGCAATGTTGGGTTGTGGAGGAAGCCTCCAGACAAATTACGGAATATGGGAAAGGAGAGGTCTATTTCATGGAGGTTCTCTAAGGGATTTGACTAAATGTGTTGTTGCTGCATTTTTTTTATTAAAGAAGAATTTGTGCCATTCTAAATTACCGCGGCATTTTTTCATGTGCATACGTACTGCAGATTTTTCTTGCTGGAAGTTGCATGTTTATCCAGTAAGTCTCAAGTCATTTTTGTGACGGTACTGTTTTTAATGCTGTGGATCAGTTAGCTGACTACCAATATGGAAGATGTTTGCCCCTCTGTCCAATTAATCCCATTCCTTGTCATTCACATTTTAGCAACGTGTAGAACCACAAAGTTCATGATGTATAAGATATCTTGGTTGGCCAGGTATATAATCTTTTTTCTTGTTGTAGGTCTCGTCAGCCTGTCTCAGCCCCTCTCTTTTCATGTCCTGACAAAAACAAGGTTAATTTCATCCCAACCGGATCAGCTTTCTGTCCTGTAAAACTTCTGGGCCCCCTTCTTCCCGCTTCAGACCTGACGCTGAAGAACTCTCCAAACTCTGGCCAAAGCACAGCTTTGAGCACCCTGACTGTCGAGCAGCTTTCGTCTCGGGTCTCTTTCTCATCTCTGTCAGATGACACCAGCACAATGGACTCCACAGAGGTCCCGGTACAGCAACCGTCCCAACAGCAGCAGCCGCTTTTGCAAGAAATTCAGACTGAAGACCATTCCTCTCCTCAGAGCTATGTGTTAATCTAGACCAAGGTGGAGCAGGCCTCTGCCCTGAAACAAGGACCGAGGAGATAATAGTTCAGATACATCTGCATGAGGTGGCAACCTTTCAGAACAACACGGAATACTTAGCAGCATTTGAAAAAAAATATCTCAACGCTGTTCTTGGCAGGGACAGAATTCATATTCAGCATTTTTTGTGAGAAAGCAGTGATGCCTGCAGAATCCATATATCATTGAGCGTTTTAAGTGGAGACTATGCATTTCATAGTATGTTTGACCAGATTAGTACTGTGTCCTGTGTTCTGTTTCAAATTCTACAGTATAAATAAGCTCTATATATATATATAAAAAAAAGTTGCCTGTCTGAATAGAAAATGTCTTGCTGTGTTGTGTCCTATGGAAAATACTGTACTTCAGGATTATGTTTACAATTGATCCAGGTGTTTATGTTTCTAACTTCTGTAATACACACAATGCAAAAAAAAAAAAAGAAAAAAAAAAATGGCCACAACAGTTGCACAGTGCCCACCCTATGGCCTAGCTTCAGGTACTTCTCTCGAAGTGTAAACTCAGGTAACTTGGAATGTATATCATATTGGGATATAAAATATTTTACAGCTACAAAGCTAAAGAGGGAACATCACTCTTTTGCCTTTCCTTATTTTATGCATTAATATTTCCTCATTACATTCCACTTTCTTGGAATAAGTGCATTCAGATCCAGGTGAACGATGACCCTGGACATGGGTGAACATGAGGAGAACCAGCAAATCTGTGATGTATATCACTTTGTCATGTGCTTACAAGCAAAACAACTGTTGCATTTACTGTCATTTCAATATATGTAAAAATGTGGCATTTAAAGGTTTCAGGTGTTGCTCAGTTGATGACTGTTAAACTGTTGCAAATAAAGTGTTCAGTACTAGGCTGTACATGAGAAACATTCCATGTTGTGTGTGAGAGGATTTTGAAAGACAAGAATGTTTTTGTTCAAGGACAGAAATTCTTTCAGGTTTCACAGGGGGTGATGGGGATTTCCTCTCATGTTTTTGTTGGCAGTTAAGGATGTGAAATGCTACTGTTACCGTCTAAAAGTCAAATTAATGTTTAGTTTCTCTTTTGGAAATGTTAATCATTTTGCTGGTTGGAAATAGGTTTTCAGATTTTGTCAAGCAGTGTTAGATGAGCAGCATTTTATTTATGTAGAGAGTAATTGTGTTTGGATTGAAGTCCAAAAGTAGCAAGTGGGTGTTCTAAGAGGGGTGGGGAAAACAATAGTTTTAAGTTCGTGTTACTTAATCAAAGCTTCTCCCATAACTTTCAGTTACTTAAGTTGTGTGTGTAAAAGTGTGTTTTCCCCCCTCCTTAAGTGTGAATAAAAAAAAAAAAAATCCTTGTAAAATAATCCTGGTTTTGCAGGCTGGACACTTTCTCGAAATAGTACATGGCAAGAACGGGTTCGTGGTGCTCTTTGATTGTACTGGAACAAGAGGAGCACTGGTTTCAGAGATAATTTCCTGTGATACAAAGAGGACCCCAAAGGCAAAATAAACTTGATGTTCTTGCTCTGTTGCTTTCAGCTCAGTGCAACTACATTTATGCTGTCTGCTCCTAAGAGAATAGGGTTCACCTTTTCCAGGAATTGAAGAGATTAGTAGCCCGCAGCTACTGAGCATTTAAACTCGCTCTATTATGGTTTTTTCCTCTTTGGAAGATGAGATTGGAGGGGGGTGAGAGTGAGCCACCAATAACTACTCACTAAATATGTGCTTTCTTTGGAGATAAAGCATCGGTTCCTTTTTATTACTGAGGTTTTGTTAATACCGTGTTACAAGGTGGAATTTGCAGCCTACAAAGCAGTCACTGTTTTTTGACTCCCCTTGCAGAAAATATAAAGGAGAGAGAGATCTGTCTCTAACCATTTTCATGTGAAAAAACCTTCTTGAAACACAACAGCCATCTTTAACCCTACTAATCTCAGGCCTAGGTGAAAACGCTATATATTTTGTAGACTGAAGACAAAGGGGAGAAAATACTCGTGATGTAAGTATCGATTCCTTTTAATATTTTTCTTTCTAGATTAACATTGCAGTATGATGACCTTTTTATGCTCTGGTTATGTTCCAGATAAGAAATCGTAGTCTCAGTTATTGGTGTTAGGTTACCGGGGGTATGATGAGTGGTTTTTAGATCAGTGATGAACTCTGTACAATATTTGCAATGCCATTACGTGTTCTTTTTTATTTCTTTTTCCACGAGAAACTAAATATTAATTAAATTGCACATTTGTTCTTAGCAGATTTGAAGGTTTTGAACCAAATGTGTTAAAGCTAATGCTTTGCCATGTAAATTTCCCAGCAGTTGTTTATCTCAATTGTATTCTACATCCAGCTGTAGAAATTTGACAAATATTGTTTAAAGTTTTGTACATAGTTGTACTGTTATTTCTAGCCACTGTGCTGAACAGTATTCAAGTTATCACATAATACTGCTTTACACAAGGAAATGTGTGGCTTTTGTTTTGTATTTTTTTGGTATAGAAGGTCCTGTGTCTTATTTAAATAAAAATTATAGTTAAAAAAAAAAAAGTGGTGGGGGGACACACAAAAGCAGTGGTTCATTTATTTGTTTTGGAAACTGTGTATGAAACACCATAGATTGAAATTAAAGTTTAATATTGTTCCAAATTTACATCTAGAATAATGTCCACCATGTATCTTTGACTACTGTGCTGTGTCTTCAAGGATAAGATAATCTCTTAAATATTGATTTTTGCGTACGACTGTTCTAGGGAGGAAAAAAAAAAGTCTAAAAATAGCTGAATGCTTAAATATGCTTTAAAAATAGCGTATTTTACTTCTGCTGAGGTTTTTCCTCCCTTCAGAGGATAGAAAAAAAAAATCAGTTAAGCATTATTTGGAAACTGTGTATCTACTGCTATGTTTGTGGTATGGCTAATTTCAAGTTACCTGTCAAAAATTATGAAAGCCATTAGATGTTTCACTGTGTGAAACTAAACTAAACCCCTAAAGGATGTGGTATAAATCTACTGACAGTCTTGGTTTCGTGTTGTTTTGTATGAGTCAAATGATTGTCATTTGACTTGCAGAATAATTCTTTCCAGATTGGGGGGTGAGGGGGAGGGCGGAAGAAAGGAGAATAATGTTTAGATACATGTAAATCCTCCAGAGTCAGTGTTTACTGAAGAGCACTATGGCAATGACCAGCAAGAATGGTTTAAGTGGAAATTTAAGTTTTCAGCATCCCAAAGATTGCAAGGTTTTGATGTGACTGGGTTGAAAACATTAACCAAAAGTTAACTGAAAATGCTGAAAGTCTGGAGCCTCAGAGGGTGTAGTAGCCCACCCTGCTATGAAAATGCTTGATGTCCTGTGGTCAGAAATGGCTCCGTTTCAGCCATTATCATCATCAGCTTGTAGGGCTTGCTCGGGAAAGCTTTGTGATCTGCCTTGTCCTCTGGATGCATTTGGCTGCAGCCGTTTCAGGCTGTCCTTGTGCGGGCGGGCATTCGCTTCTCAAGTTACTTTGGCAAAAGTGTATAGCTCACCCTGAGAAGATGTGATGTAACTTGTACCGCGGGTGACTTTCTCACCACCCCTGTCAACCTAGGCCTTGTCTGGTTACCTACGGTTGTGGTAACACACCGCTCCCACATCAGCCACGCTTCGAAGTTGTGTGCTTTGTGTAATTCACTGCCTATGTCTTCCTCAGAGCCAAGACAAGCAGTCTGAAAAGTGCTGAGAGCAGAGTGCTAATGAAATAATTTTGTCTTGGGTCCCTGCTTTGTGACTGAAAGATCTGCCTCAAGTTGAACGTTACCTTTCATGGCTCCAGAAATGGACTCTTCAGAGACTGGAGGGCTGTGCAAGGGGAGCCCGTGGCTGCGTACGCCGGGGGTGGGGGGGCAACAGATAGTGACCTGCTTGTTTTAGGAAGCAGGGTGCTGTCAGGGAAATGATTTATGGCTTCCTGAGAAATCAGCTCTTGGGAAGGGCCAGATATTGGCCCAAGGGTAGAGCCTCGGTGTCTTCACAGTATTTAAATGTAAGCCTGGAGTAACACAAAATAAACACACGAAATCGAATGGATTAGAGATGTTGGCTGACATTGCAGTTGCAAATGAAGACCACTGAGGCTTAGCGCTCTGGCTCCTGGCCTTACTCCATGGTAAGGGATTGATACCTTCATCTGTTACTTGAGGTAAAATCCAAGCCGCTTGAAGATGACAGATGACTAGTAGAAGTATAAATCAATTACTGTTGTAAAACAGCCTGGCTTGCTTTGCAAAGTAGAGCTGTGCAAATGCAAATTTGAAGCTACACAATTGGGAGGAAATAACCACAGTTCCTGCAATGTTTCCAGAACCTAAATGCAAGGCAAAAGCGAGTGAAAGCTGGGAAAGTACATCGGTTACTGGGCTGTACACGTACAGCTATTCCTAGATGGTGCTTGGCTAAAGGGAATTGTTTGATCAAAGTTTGTCATGCAGTTAAAATATCCATATCTGTCTCTTTACATTAGTGTCATCCGTCCTGGAAAACTGTCTCGTTCAGGAGAGGCTGCAACAGTCTGGAGGAGGCTCAGGGAAGAGCTATTCTATATATATTCTGTTCCTATGCTATAGGAATGGATGAGGTACTGGAAAAAACACAGCAAGGTTTTGTAGGAGCTCAACATGCTTAACAGTTGAGGAATGACTTAATTCCAATTAATAAATACCTACGTCGGAAATACTTAGTGAGGAGCTACTTAAATTTAACAGACATGGGATACTAAACTTCAAGCAGCAAGAAAATGAAGCTAGGTGAATTCACCCTAGAAATGTAGAATTATTTTAGCACTAAGGGTAATTAGGTACTGGGCCAATTTGCAGAGGTGGATTTTTTTCAAATACTGATATGTTGAAAATGAGATGATTTTTACAAAGGATCTGCTCAAAGAAAATGTTTTTATAAACCTTACTAACTCAGGATTATTTGGGTCTTTTTGCATTTCAGTTGCCTTTAAAGAGGTAGGGGTTTTTTAACTACCTTAAGTGTTCTTGCCTCATTAAAGAAGTAGCATGCTGCAATATTTTTAACTAAGGAATTAACACTTTTTTCAAACTTGTCTGGAATAGCCCTTTGAAGATGATTTCTGGCTTCTGAAAACTTTTGGTTTGTGTCACACATGAATGAAGCCTTCAGTAAAGCCCAAGCAGTTGAGTAGCTTTATAGTTGTTTTGATTTCTGTCACCTTCTCAATAGCACTGTAATTTTGGAGGGATGGCAAGAAACTGGAGAGTAGGCGATGTCTTTCTGGAGCACAACAGGTCACAGAAAGAATGTGTCACTCGAGTGGGGCTGACAGGAAAACGCTGATCGAGAACGTGGTTTTCTCAGTAAAGACCACATTGGAAGGGAGTGAACATGCAAGTCAAACTGCTAATTCAATTGACAACAAGAAAGAAGAGCAATTGGAGGAAGCTGGGTAGAGAGATGACCTCCTTTTTAAGAAGAACATGAAATTTTATCTCAGGTTGTAACAAGTTCTGATGTTAAATTGGCTGCCTTGAGCTGTAGCCTGGAAGCTGAGATGCGGAGGAGCTGGAAGCCTGGGAGAAGAGGAAGTTGTGTAATCTTTGTTTTTTCCCCCTTGAATTGGAGACTGAGTTTGTTAACGAAGCACAATTAGGCTAATAACTGTGCCTGTAGAAAAATAAGTTCTGGAGTTGTTTAAATTTGTTTCTGGTGTATGTGCATTATGAAGCGTGTGGTTAAACTTTGCAGTGATTCGTACAGCTGTTGGTTGAGAAATAGGGTTTGCTCAGGGCACGTATGCTTAGTAATACCCACGGTGATCTATTTCTTGTACCCTTGTTTTTACTTCTATGTCTCCAAATAAGCTGTAAGTTAATAGTGTTATCTAAATCCAGACTGCTGGGCATAGCAGTCGTGTTAACTAATTCTGGGTGTCTGACTGCTTACTGCAAGAGATGAGGTTCAAGAACTCTTGAGATTTTTGTGGAAGGAGGTTCTTTCTCCAAGGAGGAGAAAGCTAAAGGAAACTAGACTCCCTGTTAAGGCTTGGTGCCAAAAGGCTGGGTGGTGCAATTACTCCTTTCTGATTTCAATTTGGGTAGGAATTTCTAGTCCTGCCCTATCTCTATGATACAGAAGTTTCTCGGGGAGTAATAGCCTCCCTTTCCGTAAGATTGGTGGTATCTTTGGGCTTGTTATATAGGGAAGGAAGAATCATTCTTGTGAAAATTTAAAAAGTATGGGA